TTCCACCTCCAAGGCTGTTCCCAGACTGTACGGTATCATTTCATCTTCGCGGAACACAAGCAGGCACTTTCACTTTGATGTGGAGAGCGGAGGTCTGATTGGTTCAAATTCATGCAGCTCTTGGCTCTGACTCCAGAGCCCGCCCTTTAGACATCCCACTAGTGTTTCCAGATGTTGTCCATTAAGAATGCTGGGAACATAACACAGGATGCTGGGTCCCACCCCTGACATGCAGTAACTGATTCTACCCCAAGGGAGGGCAGGAGCCTGGGACTGGGGAACCACGAAGCCACTGTGCTGGTGGACTGGCTGAGATCAAATGGTAGATTCATTTCAGTCATGCTTCTTTCTGTTCCTTGACATGAAGCCATAATCCTAACCTGCACAGCACAGCCTTCAGACATGAAGAATGCATTAACTGCCTAAATGCTCAAAAATACTGTTTTTTAAGCTCTTGCACTGCAATTTTAGGTGTGGTTAAGCGATGTAGATGTAGTCAGATCTTGATTTACCTCCTACGTTCATCTGTGGCCATAACTAAGCATTCTTCGAGGAAAACATCTTTGACAGCACACAGCCGGAAGTTCTGTTTGCATGACACACTAAGCAGCTCCTCAGGTTTATGGGAATGGAATGTCTTGTATCAAGACCACCACTTTTATCCACGTTAATTCTTAAGACTTTTATTGGAAATAATACATCTTGGATTTTTCTATTTTCACTATCTGGACCCTACCGTGCTAAAGACAGGAACTAATTTAGTTACTTTGAAATCGAAGATTTTTAGAAAATGTTACTGGGCACACTGGTGCATACCTATACAACCAGGAAGCAGACCAGGAAGCAAGCGCAGGAGGATTGTTAAATGTTCAAGGTTAGCCTGATCTGCACAGTGAGTTCCAAAGCTGAAATAAACAAATTTCAAGTTGTGTTTTAATCATTGGATAGTCTGGCCAGCCTAGAACTCATTATGTAGACAAGGCTGACTTCAAACTCTCAGAATTCCACTTGCCTTTGCCTCCAGGGTGAATATTGGGATTAAAGGCAAGTCACCATGCTGGGCTCCAATATGGTATTTTAAGACTGTGCCCTCCACCCATCCCTTAAAGGTATGATGTGTGTGCAGAGGTTTTAGCGAGAAAAGTGACACCAATGCTTCAAATACGGAAACAGTGCGCAGGTGGCCTCATGGGCAAACTCAAGCCACTGTCCTGGGGTCCTGGTTGGAACACTGTAGATGTTAAAAACAACAGCTACAACAGATGCCTCGGAATGAGTCAAGTTAGGTTAGTGACCTGCCTTCATCATCACTTCCTGAACAAGACAATTACACAACTTCTGATGGTGGTTCTTCATCTGTAAAACAGGACTAGCGGCCAACCAGGCTTAGATTAAAACACGAAGCACAGTACCAGTACACCAAGTGCTTAGAGATGACCGCTGATGTTGGCCAGTTCTGAATTCACTGTAAGCCACCAGTGTGACATTACTATGAAGTACAGGTTAGGGAGAGCTCTGCCTTTGCCTTTCAGGGCCGGCTACACGAGAGTACCAGGTGCTACAGTGAATTCGCTCTGAGGTGCTGCTTCCTAGGCTCTGGGAGTTTGGGGAAATTAGCAGGTGTAGCCAAGTTTGAAGTGATGTTATATAACAAGGGGTAGGCAACTGTTCTAGATTAAAAATGGATAAAGTTGGGCTCACTAGTTGGCTCAGTGGGTAAAAGTGCTTGCCTCCAAGCCTGACAACCATAGTTCAATCCTCAGAAAGCACACGATTGAGGAACTGATTCCTGCAAGTTGTTTTCCGATGCATGCTGTGGGGCATATGGTCCCTGCTGTGGAATAATCCTGTACAATGTGAAGACGTGTTGCTCTCATTGTTACTAAAAAGGGTATTGGTCAACGGCTACACAGGATTTGGGGGCAGAGAGAATGCTGGGGAGAGGAAGGGGGAGAGGCCATGAGATGCAGAGTAAGCAGGATGATAAGTACGTACATGAGGTAAACAAGCCTGGGGCAGCACATGGATGAGTAGAAATGGGTTAAGTTGTAAGAGCTAGCTAAAAGTAAGCCCTCTCATATCTCACACACACACATTTTATAAAGATAGTGACCTAGTTATCTTGTGTGCTAATGGCATTGTGACATAATTAAAAGCAGGCTCATTTGTGTGGGGGTGTGTACTTGCTACCTGTTTCCAAATGACCCTGGAAAATGTATATATAAAGTATTCCCAATAGCTTGTTAACCTAAGGAAGAGTGATATAAGGTTTCTCAAGTCTGTTGTGGTTTGAATATGCAATGCCCTCCACAGCAGTGTTTCAACACTGGTCAACTCTCAGTGAGTTCGAGGTCAGCCTGGTCTACAGGGTGAGTGCCAAGACAGGTTCCATAAAACTACACAGAGAAACCCTGTCGTCTCAAAAACAAAACAAAAACAGTCTCATGTATCCTAGGCTGGCCTTTCACTTACCAAGTAGCCAAGGGTGACCTTGAACTTCTGGTTCTCCTGCCTCTACCTGTAAAGGGGGATAAATCCTGGGTAATGCTGAGGAGCACATGCAAGGCTTCATCCATGCTAGACAGGCACTCTACCAACTGAGTTACATTAGATAAAGCCATCCTAAAAATTCTTTCAACCTTTAAACATATATTAAAAATTTCAAAGTAAAACACTAACATTGACCTATAGCCATCTTTTTTGACTACAGATGAGTCATTGCATGTGACACTCCGGATTCTTATCCCATGGTCCTTCAATTTGAGTTTCCTCTGTGCTGCTGAGGAGACAGGGACACACGTGCACACACCTATGTCTTGGTTAAGGTTGTTATTGCTGTGATGAAACACCATAACCAAAACCAAACTGGAGAGGAAAGAGTTGATTTTGCTTACACTCCCTTATCTCTGTTCCATCATTGAAGGAATCAGGAACTCAAACAGGCAGGAACCTGGAGGCAGAAGCTGATGCAGAGGCTGTGGAAGGGTGCTACTTACTAGCTTGCTCCTGCTGTCTCCCTCTTTTAAAAGTTTGTTTCTGAGTGCTCTATCTGCATACACAACTTTATGCCAGAGGAAGGCATCAGATCCCACTATAGATGGTTGTGAGGTACAATGCGGTTGTCGGGAATTGAGCTCTCAGGAACTCTGGAAGAGCAGCCAGTGTTCTTAGACACCGAGTCATCTCTCAAGCTCCCTGCTTTTAGAACCTGGAACCACCAACTTAGGGGTGTTCCCACCTAGAGTGGCCCCCTGTCAATCAACAGTCATCTATATTGAGATCTGATGCCCTCCTCTGGCATAAAGTCATACATGCACATGGAGCACTCATAAAATAAACAAACTAACTCCAGTAACTCTAGCTTGTGTCAAGTTGACATAAAACTAGCCAACACACTCACAAACAATAAACAAATGGGTAAATAAATAAGTGGATAAAACAAATATAAACCTACAGGACTTATGGAAAAATGAGCTCAAAAACTATAATAAAGCAAATCAGTGGCACACTAATTCATCCTGAAAAAGCCTATAACATGCTGGCAGAAGCCCACTGGTCTGCCTACTACTCTCTGGCCAGGGAAAGAGAATGAGGGAACACAGTGATAAAGATGAAGCGTAAGCTAGAAAGGCGGGTACAGCACCAGGGCCAGGCTCCACTGCAGTTGCAGCTTACAATGAAGACGGTCCAGCTTTGTGCCCTGGAAATGTGCCTTGTATGTCTATGCAGTTCCATTCAGCCAGGTACACCTAACTATTCCCCTAGCATTATTATCCACAGGCAAAACCAAGTACAAATCCAAATTCTTTGATGCTCCAAAACTTCTCAAATCTATCGCTCCCCCTGAAGAAATCTGGATCCTAAAAGAGCCTATAAGGTAACCCATCTTCTACTAAGCCTGTCTACAGACCTGACAGTGATTCTCTCTCATTTTCAAGACAGGGTTTCTCTGTGTAGCCCTGTCTGCTTTGGAACTAGCTCTGTTGACCAGGCTTGCCTCAAACTCACAGAGATCCTTGTTGCAGTTTCTTCTGAGTTCTGCATCCAGAACAGTTTCAAGGCTTCTGGCTAAGATGATCAAGCCTCACAGAATACTCCAATCAGGACTTTACCATAATCCTAAATTTTTTTGGGTCCCCATAAGATTACCAATGCCCCAATAAGCAGGAAGTAGCCTAGAAAACTATGTCCACATTTCCCCAAAAATTGATTATGAATGTTTTTGTCTTGTTTAGTGTGTTGATTACAAATTGTTAGGAAAAAAGGCCAGGAAAAAAAGCTAAACAAAGGAGATTAGATTCAAGGTCTTGTTGTGAAAAGAAAAAAAAAAGGGAACTGCTGTGGGATAATGCTTTCATACATTGTAAAGATTTTGGTTTAATAAAACGCTAACTGACCAGTAGCCAGGCAGGAAGTATAAACAGGGTGACCAGACTAAGAGAATTCTGGGAAGAGGAAAGGCAGAGACGCAGTCACCAGCCAGACATAGAGGAAGCAAGATAAGAATGCCTCACTGAGACAAGGTACCAAGCCAAATTGCTAAACATAGACAAGAATTATGTGTTAATTTAAGTTGTAGGAGCTAGTTAATAAGCCTGAGCTAATAGGCCAAACGGTTTATAATTAATATAATTCTGTGTGTTTCTTTGGGACTGACTGGCTGTGGGACCAAGTGGGCTACAGATCCGCCTGCCTCTGTACTCTGAGCATTGGCATTAAAGGCGTGTGCAAGCACCACCCAACTCACTGATTCTCTTAGTGAGACCTTGTTCTTACCTGATCTATGAGTCAGTAGATCAAAATACCAGAGTAGAGACAGATATTTTCAGTTCCCAAGCTGGTCACTTAGGGGCCACAGTCTTTGCAAGGAGGCTAGGCTTTGTATCACTCATTGCCTGCCAAGAAAGAAAAAGGCCCACCAATATCCTATAACAACTTTGTGATTAGGATGACAAAGAGCCCAACATTCACAATTTCCCCACTACATGGTCAAAAGTAAATACTCTTCTGTAGCAATCTTTATTTATTCACACATTTGATAAAAATGTCACAATTAGGAGCAAACTCATTATGATGACACAGGTAACTGTACAGAGTCAAATCACTGTTAAATCAGAACAAGGGCAACCATACTGCTTAATACCCGCACCCGGCATACACACGCAAACACTCACACATTCACCTACAGGTGCCAAATTCAGAAAAAAGGCTTCTGTCAGGTCTTGGGGAGAAGGGAGAAACACTCACTGAACGACACTGGGACTGCTCAATGCATTTCTCTGCTCTGCCAACAATCAAGAAGACATGAAACATCGGGGGAGTTAGTTGTTTTCTTGGCACAGAAGTGAGTAGGCAACAAGAAATTTTTTAAAAAAAGGGTTAAGTTCATCTTGGGTTGAGTTTCCTTTTTCAATACCACAACAGGGTAGCAAGCAAGAAAAAAAAGAGAAATTCAGCTATATAAACTCCAGGGAAAAAAGGGAGGGAGGAAGATTTAAAACTTGATCCCTATTTACCATAAAGAAACCAGCAAGGCCAGGCTCATATCATCTGGTTGTGATCTTATCCAAACTGTGTGTCTTATTTCTATGTCAGTTCTGGAGAGAAATGTTTTAGAGGATCAAGAGGGTCACATAAGCTACATCCCTACCATATTGGTATGGGGCAAGACTTCATCTGCTGGCCCACATGGCACCTTACAGTTTTGAAAGTTCTGAGAAAATGGTATAACCACAATCCACTACCTTTAGCACTCCAGGAAGGCCCAGTCAATCTGCAGTGGGAAAATAACGCCCAAACAAATAAGACTATGAAGGAGCTGTGCTCAAATCTGCAACTCAAATTTTGCTACAAAGGTTAAAAAAGAAATCTAGTTACTTTTATGTGAGATGTTTTGTGCGCACTTCCACTGACCCTATCAAAACACTGATGGCATCAATAGAAAATTATGTCTAAAGGGGTTTGTCTCTGGTGCTCCTGGCAAGTGGGCTAAGGCTAGGGCAGAGGCCACAACCCAGCGAGCACAGCCCATGAACACAGAAAGGCCGGTTACGATGAAAACCACTTCGAGTCAGATGAATCAGTGTCATGGTATTTTGTAGGGGCAAGGATCCCTTGGTACAAACTTTGTGTCTTTAATGATAAAGCAAGGTGAGGACAAGGCACTTAGCTCAGCCAGTGCTCACATCACCATAGGACTGTTACCAAGAGCACTCCTAGTGACCCCTTAGTGAAAACTCAGGGCCAACCAGTTTCCAAGTGACCTACAGAACTGTAGGATATCCAGAGCGCTGCACAACCAATGGTGGCATTTGGAATGTCAGCGATGAAGCTTCTTGGAGGAGGCAGATAGGAGTCATCCCCTTCTGGCCTAAAGTGAGAGGTTTGTTCCAGATTAGCTCAGCATAATATACTGGATTTCACAACAGCTGGCCTGAAACACGACGACTCCATGATGCCATGGTCCTCTGGTAAAAAGCAACAGGGTTCCAAATGAAATCTAACTCCAGTTCTAATTCTCTCACACTGACATTTACAGCAGATGTCTTCGAACACGCGTGACTTGTCCCTGTCCTGCAGCAGAGTTGAGGGAGCAAGGCAGGGCCAGGAATGCCTGTCTCTCCTCATCCCAAAGGCCTTAAGCATACTCAATCCGAGCAGGGCCACGGCTACCCTCACTCTTCCGTTCAGAGGATGGAGCAGTAGGCTTGGCCTCACTGCTCATTTCCAGAGGCTTAGTCGAGATGTAGTCCTTCACTTTGATCTCCATGTTCTTGGCTTTCAGAGTGGCCATATGCAGCTTCTCTAGGAAATCTGGCATGCCTATCAGGACACAGAAGAAACCGGTCAAGCTGCTGTGATGATTAGTTTTTTTGTCAACCTGACACAAGCTAGAGAGTCCTCTGGGAAGAGGGAGCCTCAGTTAAGAGGAGAAAATGCCTCTGTAAGACTGGTCTCTTGGAAAGCATGTGGGGGCATTTTCTTGATTAATGATTGAAGTGGGAGGGCCCAGCTCAGTGGGTAGTACCATACCTACCTAGTCAGGTGATCCTAGGTTGTATAAAACAGCTAAGCAAACCAATAAGCAATGCTCAACTTCAGTTGCCTGCCCTAACTTCCTTTCAACGGACATAAGCTAGAAGATGAAATAAATCTTTTCCCTCTCAAGTCATGGTGTTCATTAGCGCAACAGAAAGCAAATTAGGACAGCGAACACACAAGCTAATAACATGTTCAAAATCCGAACTTATTCTCTCTAATGGTAGGCAAACAACGGTTTGAATGAAAACCCATGAGTGATATCTGCCTCCCAGAAAGGCTCCCTGTGCACAAACTGTGAAAGTTACCCACAACTGATCTTTTCATCAGGCCAATGAATTCCCAAATGCCTCTTCTAGGTGATTAAAATATTACTTAGTGATATAGTAAAAAAACAAAACAACAACAACAAAAACCCTGTCATTTAATTTAGATAAATGAACACATATATATCTAATTTCCCATCCCCCTCTGGAATAACTGGGACGGTGAAGTAGGAGGAGCCAGAGATTAAAACCAAGCCAGGTGGTGGTGGTGGTGCATGCTTTTAATCCCAGCACTTGGGAGGATCTCTGTGAGTTTGAGGCCAGCCTGGTCTACAAGAGTGAGTTCCAGGATAGTCAGGGCTACACAGAGAAACCCTGTCTCAAAAAACAAAAACAAAACAAAAAGGAATTTAAAGCCAGCCTGGGCTATCCAAGATCTTATAAAAAACAATACAAAAGAAAAATCAAACCAAAACAATGAAACTCACGTGAGAATGCTTAAGACAAGGTATCAGAAGTGAGGGGTGTGATTATGGCTATGGCATGCAGCCCTTCTTAGGTAGTGGTCATTCCCCTAGGCAACTGTCCCACAACTAAGTCTTCTTGGCCAGATCTCACAGTCTTCAACATTTTGGTTTTATCAGATGTTACCTAGGCTGACCCTGATCCTCCTGCCTCAGCCCCTGTATCCACTACTGAGATTACAAGTGTGTATACCACCAACCTAGCCATTCAACACTACTGAGCAAAAAATCTAAATACATCAGTACACACATCTATATGTAAGGCACCAAAGTGATGTCTTAAAAACTCTCCTCTGGAACCTCTGTGCTTCTTACCCTTCAAATCCCACTTAGAGGCTATAATGAAATGGGAAGATTGTTCAAATATCCCCAACATGTCTACAAAATGGTTAAGTACCAACCCTCCTGTTGCCATTAAGACAAAAAAACAAATTGTTCAGCTCAGGTTCAGACCCCCATGCATACCCCTCCTTACCACTGGAAACCATCCAGCTGACACAGTAGCGAGGAAACACTGTCTGTGGATTGTCACTGTAAGTCAGTAAGTAATCAAAGCCATTCTGGAAAAGAAATACAGCAAAGTTGGAGGCACCTGGATCTCTCACAGCAACTCTACATCCAGTACCAGAAATAACCATGACCCAACACTGCAGTGAAGAGTGCAATACCCTGTGCACAAAAAAACTGAGAGTGAAGGCCGGCGGCTGCTTATTCAGAGAAAGGCCCTTGACCATCTTGTTCTTGGTAAATGAAGTTTTCTGTGCCCAAATCATGACGAATATCAAGTGGCCTCTGAAAGATGGATTTTCTCCACGGAGGTCCAAACTTACACGTTAAATAGACGGTGCTGAGACCAGCTTCTAGTGAAAACTCCGGCACCAAGTCTCTAACAGGTTGCTGGCCAAAAATACACATTGTTGCATCTTGGTGCTAGAGAAAGAAGCCTCAAGACTATTCTGTGTCTTCTTCCTTTATAATCCAGCTGTGTATCCCTACTGCATTACTGCCCTAAACAGCTAGGAGTACACTATTTGCCGAGTCCTGAAGGCCTTTCTAGCAAGTCTTCAACCGTGGGAGTAGCCTTGAGGAGCCCAGTACAGATGCCCAAGGTTTACAACTTAAAGATCTCACCTTCCCCTTCTCTCTCAGTGCTAATAACTGCTTACAGAACACTATGCAGCGGGAGCTGCCTTAGGTTTTTGCAGCCTATAATGCAGTACCATCTTCCAATGCAGAACATTGGTGAAAATGGCTGTGGCTACATGGATCTGAGCAGATGGCTAAACTGCACAATCATAGGACTCAGTTCACATCTCCAGCACCCATGTAAAAAACTTCATGTGCCTGTAACCAAGTGCTAATTGGTGAGATGGGAAGATTGGCAGAGACAAGAGGATTGCTGGGACTTGCTTGACAGACATCCTACCAAAAAGCTCTGGGTTCAGTGAAACACCTGTTTCAAGGGAATAGGAAAGTGATATGTGATGTCTTTCTCTGGCCTCCCAAGCATGCACACACACGCACACACACACTACGTGTATATATATATGCCTTAGGGAGTAGAAAGAAGAATGGCTAAATTACCAAAAGATGTACATATTCAATATAATCACCCAAAAACATTATTTATTTATAGAAGTGAAAAAGAAAAACCCTAAAGTTTGTACAGAAGACAGAAACAAAAAACACAAACAGAAAACCAAATCCCAAATAGCCAAAGCAATCCTGGGCATAAGCAAAGAGCAATGATGGCAGAGTTATCATGGTTTCTAATTTCAAAGCGTACTACAAAGCCATATTAACAAAACATGGTACTAGCACAAGAAGAGAACAAAAAAGGACTTACACATAAGACCATGCACTTCTTCAGCCCTCTGAGTTTCAACAAAAATGCCAAGAAGACACAATGGAAAAAAGGTATGCTCTTTGACAAACAGTGCTCGGAAAACTGGATACCCACATGTTCAAGAATGAAACCAATACCTCAGATCTCACCCTACATAAAATTTTATTCAAGCTGGGCATGCTTTCTTTAATCCCAACACTTGGGAGGCAGAGGCAGATCCATCTCTTTGGGTTTGAGGCCAGTCTAGTCTATATAGAAAATTCCAGGACAGCCAGGGTTAGACACTGCCTAAAAATTGACAGACAGAAGGGTAGACAGATAGAAATTAAAAATACAAGACTTGGTTGGGCGGTGGTGGCGCACGCCTTTAATCCCAGCACTTGGGAGGCAGAGGCAGGCGGATCTCTGGGAGTTCCAGGCCAGCCTGGTCTATAAGAGCTAGTTCCAGGACAGGCACCAAAGCTACAGAGAAACCATGTCTCGGAAAAAAAAAAAAAAAAAAAACAAAAAACCAACCAACCAAACAAACAAACAAAAAAACAAGACCTGAAATTTTGAAAATACTAGAGAAAAACAATTCAAGATACTAGCATAACCAAGACCTTTCTCAACAAAACTCCAACAGCTCAGAAAACAGTAATTGACAAAGGAGCTAGGTGTAGTCGTGCACACTCATAATCATGACTCTTGGGAGGCAGAGGCAGGAAAACTGCAAATTAGAGGTCAGCCTGGAGTCCAAGTTCCAAGCCAGCCTGGTCTGGGCTACATAATGAGACTGTCTCAAAATCAAATACAATAATAAAGTTATTTGCTTGTGGCATTTAGAATTCCATAAAATTCAGGATTTATCTATTTGTTTACTTATTTATTTTTGGTTTATCAAGACAGGGTTTCTATGTAGCCATGGCTGTCATGAAACTCACATGCGACCAGGCTGGCCTCAAACTCACAGAGATCTGCTGACCTCTGCTTTCCAAGTGCTGGGATTAAAGGCGTGCACCATCACACCCAGCCATAATTTAATTATTTAAAGATTTATTAATTTAAACCTTTATTTTTTGAATTATTTTCTAGCCACCATTGAAACAATGGGACAGTGAGACCATGGCCCATAATGTACCTAACAAGTTGCAAGCTGATCCCTCATACCTCTTTCCAGTACACTGCACTCTGACAGCTCACCTCTCCCCAGTTCAGAAAAAGATATTCCTTGTGGGGAGGGGGGGAAAATCAAAGCTACAACACCCATCCCTAATATGCAGTAAAACTCACCTCATCAAATGACTTGTGAGGACGGATAACCATTTGGGATTCATAGGATCTGACCCTGACAAACTCTGGAGACTCTGGCACACTGGGGTGGTCCACAGCACTGTAAGGAGGAAGAGGGGGATTACTGTCTTTGCACTAACCAGTGGTAAGCCAAGGCTAAGAGGGAATGGCCAAGACTCTAAATTACTGACTCAACAAAACCACACAGTCAGTGAGATGACTGAACACAATCCAGGTTGTGAAATTATAATATATAGCTCACAGGCTGTATTTCTAGTTTTACCTTTTAAAATAACCAGCATTAAGAAATTCACAAACCTTCATCAGTACCATGCTTGCCTAGCATGAGTAAGGCTCCAGTTTCTACCCTCAATGCCTACTCCCACCCTCCTGCAAAAGCTTGCAATACTTGTTCAGTTTCCCTGGTAGATCAACCTATTCCCCGAGCAGAGAGCAGGGACAGACAGGAACCGGCTGCTAGTAAATCTGCAGGGCACTCATGAAGTCAAGCTTAAAGGTGCAGATGGGTGAAGGCAGCTAATGGAACTTAACGAGGGTTCCAGTAGTTATACATACCGCGACACCAAGACCATCACATTGTTTTCCTGATCCACGCTATACCGACGAACATAAACATAATCCCTCGAGTACATTGGGTACTAAAGAAAGGAGGTGGGATAGGATTAGTGTTCTGCATCACAGACTTGAAAGAAATAAAACCAGGTAACAGTACTCACAGGAAAATGTGTTACCCAATGAAGAACCTCAGAACCACTGACGACATCTCTTTCAATCACCTCCAGCTTGATCACAAGTGCATCCCACTTTTTCCTGTACTCTGTGTCCAGCTGCAAAAGGGAAGATCCAAACAGGGATGCACAAGTTTCTCTGGAGGCGGGATCTCTGACTTAAGGACATTATGGAGAAATAGTGATTTAACTCAACAGTGCCAACGTTTGGAGGCATGGCTGTTTATTAGTTGATTCTCTTAAGATTCTTACATACACTGAAGGGGAGCGTGTGTGTGTGTGTGTGTGTGTGTGTGTGTGTGTATGTGTGTGTGTACATATACACATATATGTTCGTGTGCACTTATGCATGTAGGCCGGGTCAATGCTGGCTTTCTTTTCTCACTCTCCAGTTTATTTTTATTTATTTGTTTTGATTTGCGAGACAGGGTTTCTCTGTGTAACCCTGACTGTCTTGGAACTCAATCTGTAGACCAGACCAGCCTCAAACTCAGAGATCACCTGCTTCTGCCTCCCAAGTGCTGAGATTTATTTTATTAATGCTTCTGCCTCCCAAGTGCTGAGATTTATTTTATTAAGACAGGTTCTCTCAAAGGGATGGAACTAGAAAACATTATTTTGAGTGAGGTAACCCAGACACAGAAAGACAATTATCACATGTATTCACTCATAGGTGGTTTTTAAACATAAAGCAAAGAAAGCCAGCCTACAAAGCCGGGCGATGGTGGCGCACGCCTTTAATCCCAGCACTCGGGAGGCTGAGGCAGGCGGATCTCTGTGAGTTCGAGACCAGCCTGGTCTACAGAGCTAGTTCCAGGACAGGCTCCAAAGCCACAGAGAAACCCTGTCTCGAAAAACAAAAAAAAAAAAAAAAAAAAAAAAAGAAAGCCAGCCTACAAACCACAATCCCAGAGAATTTAGACAAAATATGGACACTAAGAAAGACTTACATAGATATAATCTACATGGGAAGTATAAAGTAGAAAAAGACAAGATCTCCGGAGTACACTGGGAGCATGGGGACCTTGGGGGAGGATTTAAGGGGGGAGGAGAGAAGCAGGGAGGGGAGCAGAGAAAGATGTAGAGCTCAATAAATATCATGGAAAAAAAAAACAAAAAACAGGTTCTCTCACTGAACCTGAGGCTCAGTGGTTTGACTAGACGGGCTGATTAGCAACTTCTGGAGATCAACTGCCCCTATCTGTCTAGTGCTGGGGTTACTTACAAACACATGCTCCCACTCAGGTTTTACATGAGTGATACAGGAATCTGAACTCATGCTTGATCAGCAAGCATTGTACCCACTGACTCATCCCCCAAAGTCCTGTGAGAGAATTTTTTTTTTTAACTTTATGTGTGTATGGTGTTTTGCCTACGTGTCTGTCTGTGCACTACAGCATGGTTTGCCTGGTGACCATGTAGGACAGAAGATGGCGTTTTAGATCCCCTAGGACTGGAGTTGCAGACTAGAGTGAGCCACCATGTGGTTGCTGGAAACTTGAGTTGTCCAGAGAAGACAGTGCTCTCAATCACTGAGCCACTTCTCTAGCCCCCTTGCAGGGAGTCTTACACTGCAGCCAGATATCAGCAACATATGCCTATATTATAAGCAGTTCATGAAGTAGAAACAGGAAAATCAAAAGTTCAACGCAACACTGGACTACCTGTTCCCAAAACAAAAAACAAAACAAAACAAAACAAAAAAGCCCAAAAGACTGAAGATGCAGCACAGTGGTTAGATTACTTTACTGTCTAGCAAGTTTTGACAGCCCATGCTCAGTTCCCATTATCATGTATGTGTATGCACACACATAAACAAAAGCTATGCAATTGAAATGTCTGTGAAATGGAACTATCAATAACAATGTTTGCCACCTGTTATCATTAGCTTTAACTGTCAACTTGACACAGCCTGGAGTCACCTGAGAAGGGGAAGTCAGATAAGACTGGCCTATGGGTGTCTATGGGGGACTGTCTTGACTGTTAATTGACTAGGGGGCACAGCCTACTATGGACAGTATCATTCCCTGGGAAGGAGGTCCTGGACTATGTAATAAAGCTGGCTAAACATGAGCCTGGAAGAGAGCTAATAAATTATATTCTTCCATGGTTCCTGTTTCAAGTTCCTGTCCCAACTTTTCTCAGTTATTGACAATAACCTATAAGATTCTTCCCCTAAGCTGCTTTTGGTCAGGGAGTTTTACCACAGCAACAGAATGAAACTAGAACACTGACCATGTAAGCCTAACAACCTGAATTCAATACACAGAACTCACATAAATGTGGAAGGAGAAAAAGGAGCAAGGACTCTACAGATCTGTTGTCTGGCCTTCCCAAGCTGTATTTGTACCCTCACCTCCACAATAACACTTATAAAAGTTAGAAAGAAAAGGAAATATATAAAGAGAACATAACATATCATATGTAAAGATATAATTCTATATCACTTTAAACAGAAAAAAGTCTTAAAGTATGAACAGATCTCTGATGCACAGAAATTCAGGAAGCATTTCTCATCTTTTGGCATTTCAAACACAGACGCACAGTCTGCATCAAAACAAAGCATAACACTGATGAAAACAGTGCCTAGGTGGGCATAGCCTTAGTGAGTGTATTGCTGTAGTTCTGGGGATTTAACCCAGAGCACATACTGCACAATGCTCTATTTTCCAAGTATTGTTCTTGTTTTTTAAGATAGTCTCATTAAGTTGACCAGGCTGGTCTTGAACTCATTATGTCCCAGGAAGGCTTCAGTCTCCCAAATAGCAAAGATTATAGACCTATTCCAACAGGCTTGGCATTAGTAGGTATTATTATAATCAACAAATTAGTTACTAAAAGCTTAGCAAAAATCACAACAAAATGATGGCAGGGATGTGGGGAAGAGGAATCCTACATTGTTAGTGGAAATATACACTGGTGCAACCATCATGAAAAATCAGTACAAAAGTTTCTCAAAAAAATTAAAAATAGAACTACCATACAACCCAGCCACACCACTCCTGGGCATATACCTTGCTATAAATGTATACTGCTGCATTATTCACAAAAGCAAGGAAATTAAATCAAATTAACAGATAGTGAACATGTGGTACTCATGTACAATGGAATTTTATTTAGCCATAGAAAAATGAAATTACAAAACTTTCAGGAAGATGAAAATCTGGAAGTTATATTAAGCAAGGTAACAGACTCAGAAAGACAAATGCCTCCCTCCCCTCTCTCTCTCTCTCTCTCTCTCTCTCTCATGCAGAGCCTAGCTTTAACGTTCACATATGTAGATTTGTGGGTGTGAGTGTATGTATTAGTCATGAAACCAGAAAGGAGTCTAGAAAAAAGGAAAAGGTACTGATGAAAGAGGTTAGATAACAGAACACGTGTGACATCCAAGTTGAAAGGAGTTATTGGGGTAGAAATATAAAAAAGAGGGATATGGAAGAAGAAGACAACCAGCAAAACAAATTATGTTTGAAAATGCCATAAGGAAGTCTAACACAGCCGGGAGGTGGTGGTGCACACCTTTAATCCCAGCACTTGGGAGGCAGAGGCAGGTGGATCTCTGTGAATTCGAGGCCAGCCTGGTCTACAAGAGCTAATTCCAGGACAGGCTCCAAAGCCACAGAGAAACCTTGTCTCGAAAAACAAAAACAAAAACAAAAAAAGAAGCCTAATACTTTGTATACTTATTTTATTTATATGTATATTTTGAGACAGGGTCTCTCTATATAGTCCTTGATGTCCTTGGGCTCTCTACGTAGACCAGGCTAGCCTAGAAATCTGCCTCCTGAGTGCTGGGATTAAAAGTACATGCCATCACATTCAGGTGTAATTAATTTTAAAATTAAATTTTTAAAATGGAACTCTCATGAAAGAAAGTTCTATGTTGCTAGCATTTGGTGATTCCATCTTCCTCTCTCACTTCTGTTTTACTTTTTTTTTTTTTTAAGATTTCATTTATTTATTATGTATACAACATTTTGCCTCCATGTATGCCCGCATGCCAGAAGAGGGCGCCAGATCTCATTGCAGATGGTTGTTAGCCACCATGTGGTTGCTGGGAATTGAACTCAGGACCTCTGGAAGAGCAGCCAGTGCTCTTAACCACTGAGCCATCTCTCCAGCCCCTACTTTTATTATTTTTGAGACAGGGTCTCTAATCATGTAGCTCTATTTGGCTGTCCTGTCCTGTAGCCCAGGCTGGCCTTGAACTCACAGAGATCCATCCTCCTCTTGCCTCTGCTTCCCAAGTGCTAGGATTAAAGGAATGTACCACTACACCCAACTCTTTTATTGTTTTCAATTTGTTTGTTTTATCTCTTGGAACAGGGTCTGACTAGCCTTTTATGTGTTACACAACACAGGCTTGCCTCTAACTTCATCAAATCCCCTGCCTCACCTCTCCAAGTGCTGACATTATAGGTATTCAGGGAGCCAGGAAGCTCCAAATCAGGAAAGAATAAACTCACCTGAACATTGAAGAACTGCCGAGGTGTCACATCTGTGTATGTTCCAAAAACTAGAACAACAAGAGGAAGGAGGGAAAGCTTGTCATGCCCTGTCCCCTAAACTGCATTTTAAGTCCACAGGACTGACAGGTCTCAAAGGCAACATCAAAACCTAAAAATCATTCCAGGAGCAGCAAAGCAAGGCACAGATGACATCTATCAAGGAAGAATATGAAAAGCTTGTTATCTGGGAGAGGAAAATAAACAAGAGTTTGGCAAATTTTCAACAGAGCCAGGTTAGAACAGTTTTGGAAGTACAAGGAACAAAGTGATGCATGCCTGGGCACCATGGACATACGTCAAAGGCAGCAGACATGGCTCACCTCGGTACTGGTAAAGGTGGGTGCCGGGAATTGGGCGCCGCCACAGCTTGAAGTGTTTCTTGTCCATCACCATTTCCCATGGTTCTTCTTTGTCCTTCGACTTTTCATTCCCTTCTGCTGGGGTCTTTGGTTCAGGAGGGTGATTTTCAACTCCAGAACTCTGGAATACATTTGACATTTCTTCCAACCGTTTCATCTCATTTATGGACCTGGAAAGACAGAAACAGGCACCATGTCCATGAAATGAATGAAGTGTCCAAAGACCTGCAAAATGAGGTGTGGTGGGAAACAGCATATTATCTCAATGAACATAAATAAAATCTGAATTAAGCTTGAATACAAGTCTAAACTTGTAATCAGAGTTACTTAACCAGTCCCCATTTCTAAATCTATGAAATGTAGAAAATATTAGTACCTACTTCAAGCTAGTCGTGAAAGCATACAAAAAGTGCACAAGACCCGGCACAGAGCCTTAAATAACTTACAATGAAAATTTTAACATTTATCCGGGTTTTTGTTTGTTTTTAGTTTTTTTTTTTTTTTTTTTTTT